GGGGGGGGGGGGGGGGGGGGGGGGGGGGGGGGGGGGGGGGGGGGGGGGGGGGGGGGGGGGGGGGGGGGGGGGGGGGGGGGGGGGGGGGGGGGGGGGGAGAGACACACCCCAGCAACCCTGGATGAGACCCTCTGGCCTTGAGGGCCCGAGCCCTACCCGTAGGACTCTAGGGTGTCCCCTCCTTTCGCCTCGTCAGGGAGTCCCTTACCCCACTCCCTCCTCGCCTGCCTTGGGCGGGAGATGTGCTGCAGGACCACGGTCTGGATCCACTTGGCCCACTGATTGGCCTTTGCCTATTGCCGCACCTGACCCGCTCCAGCCCGCAGGGGCGTGGCCTCGCCGCCGCTCCCTCCCCTCACGCCTCCGCTCGGCTCCTCCGCAGCCTCCCATTGGCCCGTTCGACACTGCACCTTGGGCACGCCTCCGCCCCTTCCCCCATTGTTCTGGCCCTGGCCCCTCCGGTAGGACTTGGAGCACTCGGTCGCTGCCGGCCCCAGGCGTCCTGGCTTGCGACCCCGACCCCTACTCCTACCCTGGGAAACCTGCCTGGTGGAATCTCAGAAGCAAACCCCGTGATTGCGGGAAATAGCCCTGCCCGTTTTGAGGTTGAAGGATCTGGATGCCACGTTTTCATTCCACACCCAATTTACATATGCATCCTCCTAATCCCCCACACCCAGGCCTAGAATGGGGAGGGAGGAAGTAGGGGGCATGGCCTACCTAAAAGGGGCTAGTTCCGGGAGATCCCAGGCCTGAGGGCTTTCCCAGGTGTCCGTACCTGAAGAGGCACCTTGCTCTGTTTCAGGGCTCACTAAAGTCTTTACCTGCGTGATCTTGTTAACTTTCTTGTGAAGAAGGCACTTCTTGAAGTAGGGGGCATGGCCTACCTAAAAGGGGCTAGTTCCGGGAGATCCCAGGCCTGAGGGCTCCAGGTGTCTGTACCTGAAGAGGCACCTTGCTCTGTTTCAGGGCTCACTAAAGTCTTTACCTGCGTGATCTTGTTAACTTTCTTGTGAAGAAGGCACTTCTTCCTTTTATGCATAGGGAAACTGAGGCTCAGAGAGAATCACGTACATAGTATACGTGCATCTAGTATATATCTCAGATGTGATCTAGAATCATGCATCTGGTAAGTGACAGAGCTGAGGATGGAGCTCAGGCCTGGGGGGTCCCAAAGCAGGTACTCACTATGCCCCTCCCTCCCCTACAGCTGTGGCAATTTGGGGAGTGGGTGGACGTGGTAGTGGATGACCTGCTGCCCACCAAGGACGGGAAACTGGTGTTCGTGCACTCTGCCCAAGGCAACGAGTTCTGGAGTGCCCTGCTCGAGAAGGCCTATGCCAAGTGAGTAGGAGCCCAGGGGACAGCTCCAGCCCACCCTGGGGGTGGGGGCTTCTGGCCCTCTCAGCCACTCCTGCTTGATACTAGAGCGCTAACCTGGAGCTGCCCGCAGGGTGAACGGCAGCTATGAGGCCCTCTCAGGGGGCAGCACCTCAGAGGGCTTTGAAGACTTCACAGGTGGGGTCACCGAGTGGTATGAACTTCGCAAGGCCCCTAGTGACCTCTACCAAATCATCCTTAAGGCACTGGAGCGAGGATCTCTGCTGGGCTGCTCCATTGACGTAAGTGTGCCCAGCCCCTGCCCTCATGCTCTGAGCCCGGTACCTCAGCCTGTCTTGTCTTCCAGGCCCATCCTCACCCTGGACTTGGCCCAGACCCCCATCCTTCACCTCAGCACCACCTATGGATGCACACCCAGCCTCATCCATCACTTCAGTCCCACCTTCCACCTCCATGCCTGGCCTGGTTCCTGTCCCCACCTCTCCACTCCTTCCCCCAAACCTCAGACCTCAGCTCTTCCCCAGACTTGTCTATATAACCATCCACTCTGCTCTGTCCCTACCTCACCCCTGTCATCTCACTCCATCCCATCCACTGTCCAATCACCAGCCTCCGATTTCATCTTTTCTGCTCTCGGCTCCCACCCAGCCCTAGCCTCATTCCTGCACTCACCGCACTCCCACCCTTCCCTGCTCCTCTGTGCTCACAGCTCTTCCCCAGACCTCCCTTATCCTTGATCTCAGACTCCACCCGCAACATCACTGCAGTCCTCAGCTGTCACCCCAGCTTCCCTCCATCTTCCCCATCCCTAACTGGCTCCATCCTGTCCTCACCCCTCGTCCCCACCCTCACTGTGCCCTCCCCATGAGGCCCTCTGAGGGTCTTGTGGTTCTGGGGGGCTGTGCATGGCTGTATGTATGTGCGTGTGTGTGTGCGCGCACAGTGTAGCCAGCCCTGGCCAGTAGCAGTGTCAGTGGGGTGCCCACCCCCCATCCCAGTTGGCCAGTTGGCATCATTGCTGGGGTACCTGGGCTTCTGCTAGTAGCATTTCTATGTGGGGGTGATGGACTAGATGGGATCAGGGTCCTTTCCTGCTACTTCCGACAGCTGTTGTATATGGAACGTCCATGACCCCTGAGTGCTCAGGGCTCATCAGACAGGGATGGGGGGCCTGGTCCCTGACCACAGTGCACGTGACTTTCTGCAGATCTCCAGCATTCTGGACATGGAGGCCGTCACCTTCAAGAAGCTGGTGAAGGGCCACGCCTACTCTGTGACTGGGGCGAAGCAGGTACTGCCCAGGTGGGGTCTTCCCTGCAGAGTGGTTCCTGCCTCCTTACTTGATCTTGCCTCTCTGGCATCTGAGGAGGGCTGTCAGAGGTGCTGGCTCTTCCTTTGACCTGCTGTGCTTTATCTGTCTCCTCGGGAACACCCATCCCGAGATGCTTATCGCATCTGCCCTGGTTGACTATAGCTCATGTGCATAGTAACCTCGGCTGTAAATTCCCGGAGGATATGCTTCACCAAGGCGTTGCCCGTGGTGTGGTGCTGGGTGCTAAGCAGGACTGAGCAAGGGCAAGGTGGTGCGGGACGCAGGTGGGGGAGGGGTGTTAAAGTGCATGTCAAAGGCCAGCACTGGTGGGTGCTCTGGGGAACAGGTGAACTACCGGGGCCAGATGGTGAACCTGATCCGGATGCGGAACCCCTGGGGCGAGGTGGAGTGGACGGGAGCCTGGAGCGACAGGTGAGGGGCAGTGAGCACTCACTGGGGTGGCTTGGGAAAGCTGTTAGGTGCCTCCTAACACTTCTGCTCAGGGATCCTCTGCCAACCCAGGGTGGACTCAGGATTGAGCAGAGGGGCCTATTCATGGTACTGGGTCTGGGGACTGCCCTGACAAAGCTCAGGCTGGCAGGCCCCTGTACCCAGCCTGTGGGTATGCTCTGGGCATCTGACCTGGCCCTGATAAGACAGCCCCCTTGAACTGGGACCTTGTGTCTTGACCTTGAAGAGATCTTCTGACCTGGGCTAGGGGAAGACATACCAGGGTGGACAGCCCCAGGGACAGAGGCTGGGCAGGTCAGTGCCACCAGCCCTGGCAGTGCCCTGTTCCCCGCAGCTCCTCGGAGTGGAACAATGTGGACCCTTATGAACGGGAGCAGCTCCGGGTCAAGATGGAGGACGGGGAATTCTGGTGAGTCGCCCGCTCCCTGGTCTGGCCCCTCCTGGGACCTTGCACCCCACCTCCCAGTCTCTACAAGCCCAGCCAGTGCCACATCCCCCCGTGCCCTGACTGAGGACTGGGGCTCACCTCTGCACTTCATCCCCCAGGATGTCATTCCGAGACTTCTTGCGCGAGTTCACCCGCCTGGAGATCTGCAACCTGACACCGGACGCGCTCAAGAGCCGCACCATTCGCAAATGGAACACCACGCTCTACGAGGGCACCTGGCGGCGGGGGAGCACGGCGGGGGGCTGCCGGAACTACCCAGGTGACCCGAGCTGCGGGCAGGTGGGGCGCGCGGGGGTGGGATCTGGGCCCTGCTGCTTCCTGGCTCGAGGGCCTCAGACAAGGTGTGTCACCTTGCTAAGCCTCAGTTTCCTCACTTGTAAGATAGAGATAATCATGCTGACCTCTCAGATTTGCTTTGAGCAGTAAAATATTAAATGTCCTTGTAAACTCTGAAGAGCCACACTTGACACACCTTTCTGGGGCCTGAGCCCAGGGTGCTAAGGAGGGAGAGAAGACCTCATTGCCATCCAGCCACCTTCCTGTCACTCCTGCTCATTCCCTGAGCCCTTCCCTCCTGGCCACTGTCTTCTTCCCCTCTCCTTCTGCCACCTTTCCCTGAGCTTCTAGATCCATGTGGACGACTCAGTCCACAGCCTGGCCTCTCCATTCCTTGCCATCCTCACCTGCGGCAAGCTTTTCCTCTGTCTTAGTGCAGCCACCGCCCTGAGGACACACTGGAGCTTGCCATGCCAGTAACTACTCACCTCTGACTCACCCATTGTAAACACCCTGCTCTCTGACCTCCACCCGCATCCCTTTCAGCGCCATTATTTTATAATCCTCAGCCACATGGAACTAACTAATCTGTTGAACCCTCCACCTTGGCACTATCCGTCATCTCTCCTCTTACCTTCTCCCTTTACCTTTGTCCCTGCAAATACTCTCAACCTCCTGGCCCCTTTCTCTGCTCCCATCACCTGGCACAATGACAATCCCAGTGGAACCCAGCTCTCCACCAGCTCAGGAACCATGACCTGTGGCAGGAGAGAAATCACACAACCGAGGCTGTATTTTCCCGTAAATTCACAGCTATGAACTTCTCGTGAGCACTTTGCACGGTCCCCAGCAGTCCCACTACTGGTCAGTAACGTTCCCGCTCTCTTCAAACCTCCCTCGCCTGTCACTCTCATCTGCAGCCCTGGCTTTGCACTTCATTGAAAAGATAAATATTTCCGCAGGACACCTCCTCATATTCCCACCTCCAAGTCCCCCAGCCTCTCTGCACCTGTGCCCCGCTCTCTTCAAACCTCCCTCGCCTGTCACTCTCATCTGCAGCCCTGGCTTTGCACTTCATGGAAAAGATAAATATTTCCGCAGGACACCTCCTCATATTCCCACCTCCAAGTCCCCCAGCCTCTCTGCACCTGTGCGTATCATAGTGGCAGACTGTCCCTGCTCATGGGGACCTCCCCCCTGCACCGGATGTCATTCTTCCTCACCTCTGAAAGCATTTTGCTTCTTCCTCTGTCAACTCTCTCTCCTGTGTCATTGTGGAAAATCCCATCTTAAAACAAAGCAACCCTCCTCTGACTCCACTTCCCCGCCCATTTCTCTGCTCCCCTTCGAAGCAAAAGTTCTCAGGAATTACCACCTTCCCTGTTTCCTTTCTCACTGCCAGTTTTTTTGTTTGTTTTGGGTTTTTTTTTTTGCGGCTGGCCATTATGGGGGATCTGAACCCTTGACCTTGGTATTATAACACCTTGCTCTAACCAACTGAGCTAACTGGCCAGCCCCTTAGCTCATTTTTTAACCCATGCCAGTCCAGCTCCCATCCCCGTCACACTGCTGAAACTGCTCTTCCGAGGGTCACCTACAGCTTTGGCTTCGCCTGTTTTGCATCCTTCAACAGTTCTCAGCATGGCTGATCATGCTCTGTTTTGAAGCATTCTTCTTCCTTGTAGGGATCCAATTTCTGTTTTTCCCCAAATAGGTAACCACTGTTCCCTGTACCATTTATTGAGAAGTCCTCCCTTCCTGGCTGCCCAGCAGTGCCAGTGTCCTCGTATAGTCCCCATCGGTTTTTTTGTGTGTGTGTGTGTGTGTGTGTGTGTATGTGAGTGAATTGATTTGTTTTTTTTGTTTTTTTTTTTTTAGCTCCCACCAATGAGTGAGAACATGTGGAATTTCTTTTTCTCTGCCTGACTCGTTTCACTCAGTATTATTCTTTCAAGGTCCATCCATGTTGTTGCTTCCGTTAACTTTTTGAAGACCCCTTGTATTTTACATAAATACATTTATAATGTCAGGTGTTTACATCTTAAGCACACATTAGGTGCTTATCAGTGGCCAGGTGGTGTAAACAATGCATGCTTATCTTTCAGTGTGGTAGTTTAGTGGACCCTTAAATGTGTTTTTAAGTTTAAGGTACAATGCTTACTTACAGATTGCTCCTTTCACCCCATCAAACACATCACAGCAAAGAATTCAGGATGATAGAAAATATTATATCACTCTGAACTTATATATCGTACTACCCTATAATTTATAAATTATGCTTTTCACAATATCCCTAGGATAAATTCCTAGAAGTGGGATTTTTTTTTTTTTTTTGTCCTTTTTGAGACAGGCCGCACCGCGCTCAGCCAGTGAGCGCTGCGAGTGCACCGGTCATCCCTATATAGGATCCGAACCTGCGGCGGAAGCGCTACCGCGCTCCCAGTGCCGCACCCTCCTGAGTGCACCACAGGCTCGGCCCAGAAGTGGGATTTTTAAATGAAAGAATTATATACTTATTAAATTTGGAGAGTTAATGCCAAATTGTCCTCCAGAAAGGTTATACCAATTTACACTCTAAGTACTACATCATCATTTTTGAGGCTGCTAGTATTCTAGTATAGATGTAACTTAATTAAAATGCTTTGAAGAGTACCTGCTATTACTGCTGTTTTTCACTTTTTTTTGCGAATATTATGATATATTATTGATATTTTCTTGAAACTTTTTCCGTTTTCTTTTACTATATAGAAATATATGTATTGCCTTTTAATTCTATTTTTCCACGAACTTTTTTTTTTTTAAAGATGACCGGTAAGGGCATCTCAACCCTTGACTTGGTGTTGTCAGCACCACGCTCTCCCGAGTGAGCCACGGGCCAGCCCTGAGAATTGACATTTTTAAAACTTTAAGTGTTCTCATCCAAGAAAATGGTATTTGTTTATATTTATTTTGGTCTTTAATGTCTTTCAATAGATTTTATAATTTTTATCATAATGGGTTTATAAATCTTTTGAGATTTATTCCCAGGTACACTGTCATTTTGTTGCTATTGTAAATAGTATCTCCTTTAAAATTACATCTCCCAAGTGATAGTTGCTGATACAATAACATGCATTTATTAACCTTTTGTGTTTTGTATCCAGCAAACTTTGTTAAGCTAATTAATTTTACTGATTAGATCCTTTTTGGTTTTCTAGTTGACAATATAGTATCTGCAAATAATGACAGATTTGTTTCTTCTTTTCCAATTCTTACAATGTTATTTTTCTTATTTAATACGCAGATTAGAACTGTAGAGACGTAATAAACGTGGCTGTTGAGGGCTTCCTGGTCTTGCCTCTCTCTTTTTGGTGGCCGGTCAGTAAGGGGATCTAATTTTCCCTCTCTCTTTTTTTTTTTTCCTTTTTTGTCTTTTTTACTGACCGGTAACGGGATCGCAACCCTCGGTGTCGCACCCGCACTGGGGACCGGCAACGGGATTGCAACCCTCGGTGTCGCGCCCACACCGCGCTCAGCCAGTGAGCGGGAACCGGTCTCCACATGGGATCTGAACCCTGGGGTGGGGGGAGCGCCACCACGCTCCCAAGCGGTGCACTCTCCAGTGCGCCACCTGGCCGGCCCTTAATTGTCCCTCTCTTAAAGGGAAAGTTTTCACTTATAAATGTTTACTCTAGGTTTCACCCTTAAGTACCTTTTTACTCTAGGTTTTTTGTGGACACTTTTTATCAGATTAGTGAAACTGAATATCATTAAGCACTTTTTTAACTGTATTTATTGTTATGGTAATATGATTTTTTCTTTTATCTATTAAAATGATAAATTGCGTTTATCACATTCCTAATATTAAACCAACTTTACATTCCTGAGATGATAACAACACGGCCATGATATGACTTTTTATACGACAGCTCTTACATCAGAGCTCATCGGTGAGCCGTGATTGTTATTTTCCATTCTCATGTGGACTATACTGGTATCAGGCTATGTTTGTCTTGTAAAGTGAATTGGGAAGTGTTCTTTATTCTTCTGTTAGAACAGTTTGCATGAGATGGGAATGATTTCTTGCTTGGGTGTGTGGTAGAACTTGTAAAGCTGTCAGGCCTTGTTCTTTTCTTTTTGTGCAGATTAACTTTTGATTTTGAATATCTTTCATGGTTATAGGATTGTTCAGGTTTCCTATTTCTTTCTGAGCTTATTTGATAGCTGTATTTGCTAAGACTTTATCATTTGCATCTGTTTTCAAAATTATCAGCACCAAGTTTTCCTTAATATACTTTTACCTCATCTGTAATAATGTCTGCTTTTTGTTTATAGTGTTGCTTATTTGCTGTCTCTTTTTTGTCTATTAATCCTGTGAGGGATTTGGCAATATTAGTTGTTACAAAGAAATGACTTTTGACTGTTGATCCTTTGTATACTATTTTCTCGGTATCATTTATCTCTGCTTTTCTGTTCATTATCTCATTCCTTCTAATTTCTGTAGATTTCTTTTAGACTTTATCTTATGACTTCTTAAATTAGATGCTTATTTCGTTGATTTGGATTTTCTCCTACATAAGCGCCCAAGGTGATTAATTTCCTTCTAAGCGCATCTTTGACTTACACAATTTTGATGTATGGTGTTTTAAAATTGTGATATAATTCATATGCCAGAAAATTCACAGTTTTTTTTTTTTTTGTCTTTTTCCGTGTCCGGCAACGGGATCGCAACCCTCGGCATTGCTCCCCCGCCTCACTCAGCCAGTGAGCGGGAACCGGTCTGTATGTGGGATCCAAACCCTCAGGCGGGAGCGCCGCCGCGCTTCCCAAGCGGCACACTATCCAGTGCGCCACCGGGCCGGCCCTGAAAATTCACAGTTTTAATGTTTTTAATATATTCATAGTGTTGTGCAAACATCACTATTAACTAATTCCAGAACATTTTTTCACCCCCAAAAGAAATCCTGCATCCATTAGCAGTCACTCTCCATCCCTCCCCACCAG